GCCTCATAAAGACCATCTGATTAAAGCAGCATGACATTTTGCTGGACACTAGCCTCCCACTGCTGTCCCTATGGAAAAGCATTGGATTGGCTGAGAACCTCAATCTTGAGTATCTCAATCAAGGGGATGGAATGGCAAAGAGGAGGGTCAGTATCCTAAACCATGAACAGGGTACTATATTGATAGGAATTCAACACATGCAATCCTAATTCTATACTGTTCCTTGAAAGATTGACTTTAGTGCTTAAATGTATTTTAAATGAAGATTTTATATATATATATATATATATATATATATATATATATAGATGTAAAAAACAGATAAAATTCTTATCTTGTAATACCTTTTTTATTGGACTAACAGAATTTTTTAATGACAAGCTTTCGGGAGAACCTCCTATATATATATATATATATATATATATATATATATATATATATATATATATATATTTATTTATTTATTTATTTTAAATTATTTTTTTTTAATACAGGATGTTTCGAGAGTTTATAGTCATTTACTTGTCTTTTCTTCTTTATACCTGGATGAACATCTACTTTTTTGTTGGACTGCGACAGGCAGTAATTTATTTTGTGTAGCATGGAAACCAGGTGTTTTATAGCTATTGGTGTCTCTTATTAATCTCTAGGGTCAACATTAAAACTTTTGGCAGTTTCTTTTTTTTTATTCTTTATTTATTGCGTGCAAAGAGATAACATTGCTTGATGCGCCACAACAGCTGCAGCAGAGAGATAACAAGATGTACAGGGTTATGGCATTCGCATGAGTTGCACATTTTTAAATTATAGATCATGCAGACTAAAACAATATAACAAGCTTAGTGCTAATGAGTAAAACTTTTATAGCTATTCTATGCATGCTTAGTTGAGCAGTGGTTGTATGATTATTTAGTTACAGGCTTATGCAGAATAATATCAGATAAAGGTTTCTCTAGCTGATTGAAGTTAACCACCAGGGGGCAGTGAGTCGCTGGGTCAGCCGGCTAAAGTATACATGTGTGCTCAGTCATTGTGAAGTGATTTCCAAATTTTTGCCGTGTGGATCTACATAAACAAAATCAACCTTAATAAACTCAAAATAACACTGAGAATGACACTGAGAGTGAAACATTAACATAAAGGGTATCTAGTGCTCTGCTAGGATTCTAGTTATATATGAGTAGCAGCTGCTTAAGTACTCCTGCAGCAGTGCTGGGTCAGCTGGTGACCTAGCTGTAGTCAAGTTCCTCGTGTTCCACGTTGATTGCTGAAAAGCTGAGGTACTTGTTGGCCAGGAGTGTATGTGTATGTGTCTACTGGTATCAGTCTCAGGTAGAAAATGAGGCTTGTGTCCCGTGTCCGTTATTCCTCCATGTTTATGCAGGGTCAGAGTCTAAGTATAGTCCTCACAGATCCGTCAGCCACAAAAGAAATGTTGCCTCAGGTAGCCATGTTTACTTGATGAATGTGCACCCTTCAGGGTTGTCTGATGGGCGGAGAGGGTTCTCCGCTAGCCGCTGTCAGTGTGTAGCTTTCCGGCCTGCCTCTGTTTCCAGACAGCACCCAGCCGTTGCTCTACTGTCGCTGCCTCTGTGCTCCGGCTTACACTGGGTGCGGCGGCCATCTTGGGTTATTCCACGCAGTCCCTGAATGGTCTTTTCACCACACGGTTTGCCAAAAAGAATCACCGCCTTCCCGCTGGGGTCCGGGATAACCCCCCTGCTCACAGGGGGGGAGAATGGGGCCCTCAGCAGGCTTGCGGGAGGACCCACCGGACTAAGCGTGGGAGATCGGCCGTTTCTCCCGCCAGAGCCTCACGACAGGCCGCAATCCCGTCTGCCCAGCAGTCAGCTTTGCCGGTAGGGCGAGGGCCAACAGCTGCCCCGATTGTTTTTTATGGGAGATAGAGTAGTTTTGGGCTGATTAATGATCTTTCATCGTGGAGCCGAGGTGCCCCATGTCCATCCAGCTCAGCGGGCAGGCCCCGCCCCCTTGGCAGTTTCTTATTACCATTTGTTGTATGGTATGTTTTGTTGTGTGCAATAGTAATTGGTAACTGTAGTGACTGCCATTTTAGTGATTCTCCCATTCTTTTCTTTACCAGAAAGAAGCTGCTGAAGAAATAATGAAGAAAAAAGAAATAATTTGTATCTTGAACCTTTTTGAATGGCTCCCTTGAGGAAAAGGCTTTGCAGTTTGTTGTGGATAAGTTGGTTGTGAAGGTGGTTGGTGTGAAGCAGAACCTCTGCCTGCTTTTGGATTGTGTGGAACTCGATGGAATAACCCTGCACTACATGAAGGATCCAAGGATCCTCTGATAGAGTAGTTAATTCCTTCAGAAAAAGAGAAAATGTTCCTGCAGTAAACACATGCGAACTGTAGCGGAGCCTGCATATTTTTACAGATTACTGGTGCAGGACGTTATACTATTTCTTCAAATGACTATATCACTCCCTTGGCTCTCCTCTACCTTCCTCCTATATATTTCATCAGAGAGCTCCCTCTTCTTGACTGGTAGCAGTGTTTTATCAAAGCTAGAACAGCTGCAATGCCTCTAGTGGGCCCTAGCCCATATCAGCTGGAACCCCTGCACAGTATAATTTCCACCTTCCGCCTGGTCAAGTTTACCACCCATTTTACCTCCTTTTACAGACACCAAAGAGCATGCTATTTGGAGGGGAGGTAGAAAGGAATATTACCAACATTTGCTACCCAAGATCCACGGGAGCCCCCATTTCCAAGACCACAGGAGCCCCCGTTCAAAGACCGGCACTTAACCGCGACCAGTCTGGAACTCCACCCCGGGTCAAGATGTGACCAACGCCCTGTCAAAACATCATTCAATATAATACTTTGAGCTTGGCACCTCCTATTCAGCTAATATGTGGATTGTACACTTGGGAAATTGAGACCTGTCTGGGGATGTGTATTGCCTCGTGTGCTTGTGTATTGGATGTTTCTGTACAGTTGTGAAAGAACCAGCCCTGGGGCACCCTGACTGCAAGCCACTCGGCATGCCGACCGCAGAATACCCAGTGCTACCTCTAGAACTTTAGGCTAGAACTTTAGCCGAGGATGGTCCAATTTTTAATCCAGTGGCGTTTCTACTAGACGAGGGGGGGGGCGGCAGGGGCGGTCCGCCCCAGGTGCCACTCACTAGGGGGGTGCCCGGGCTGCACTTTCAGAGGGGCGGCCTTTCCGCCCCAGTGTCTTATGTAAAGGGACCGGCCGCTTATAAGAGTATCTACGCAAGTTACCCATCCAGCAGCAGCAGGTCTTCTGTTCTCGCGATCCGCAAGAGCATTGCCGCGGGTTGCCATAGCAACCCGTAGCAAAGCTCTTGCGGATCGCGAGGACAGAAGACCTGCTGCTGCTGGATGGGAAACTCGCGTGCAGAGTTCTGGGCCCACCTATGCTGTGCCATCGTACCACCAGGACCACCCGTCAAGGAGGACGGGAGGGACAGGTAAGTGTCAGGGAGGGGCAAATCATACAAACTGCTCACTTTCCCAGCACTTGTTCTACAAAACACACACAGACACTGCATACACTATACACACACTCCATACACTATACACACACTGCATACACTATACACACACTCCATGCACTATACACACACTCCATGCACTATACACACACTCCATGCATTATACACACACTCCATGCACTATATACACACACTGCATGCACTATACACACACTGCATTCACTATACACACACTGCATTCACTATACACACACTGCATACACAATATACACACACTGCATTCACTAAGCAAACACACACTTATACATTTGTATCTGTATGTCTGTGTATCTGTTTATGTGTCTGTTTCGGTGTGTCTGTGTATCTGTATATATGTGTCCATCTGTGTCTGTATGTGTGTTTGTATCTGTATGTGTGTCAGTATTTGTCTGTATCTGTGTATGACTTTGTTTCTTTGTAACTGCATGTGTGTACCTATGTGTCTGTGTATCTGTATGTGTGCCAGTGTGTGTATATGTGTATATGTGCATACATCTCAACATTTCATCTACACTACACACAAATACAACCCTGCATCCAAATGTCAACACTACATAAACACACCACCATATTCAAAAACCACACTACAGAAAAATGCACGCCTGCATTCAAATGTCAATACGTGCAAACACACCCGTACATTCACTCACACATACTTCATACAAAAACATGCTTACATTAAAAATATACAAACACTGCTCAGTGCTAAATACATTTAAAAAAATTGTGGTTGTTTTTTACATTTTAAAGTTGAGGGGGGCCAAATGCTCCAGGTGCGCCGCTGATATACCGGATTCGAATTTGGAACGGCAATGGGAGCTACATATCCGCTGAAAGTCACATTGAGGTTGGAACTGGTATTGTGCAGAGTAATCCTGGTAGAATCCAAGGGCTTTGGTAGGATCTGATATGCAAATTCAGCTGGTTACACGGACCCGTCTGTCACTCCTACCATAAAATACTTCTCTGAGGAGTCTAATCCTTTTCGAGTGTAGAAAAGATATTAACATATTTCTGTAACTCTTTTAAAAACGGGTCCCCATCAATCATCCCCTGTAAATGGGGGCAGAGTTTTTAGAACCTAAATCTTGCTCCGTTAAACAGTGCCATTTCAAGTTGTGTAGCTGGTAAATAATATGATGCAGAAACTAAGCAATATAAATATGTGCATTTGTGATGTCCCGAACGGTTCGCCACGGACGGCGAACATATGCGCTGTACGCTCCGCCCCCTATGTCATCATTGAGTACACTTTAACCCTGTACCTCACAGTCAGCAGACACATTCCAGCCAATCAGCAGCAGACCCTCCCTCCCAGACCCTCCCACCTCCTGGACAGCTCACTAAGAATGCAGCTTCACAATGAATGTAAAATGGATGCTGTCTAGGAGGTGGGAGTGTCTGGGAGGGAGGGTCTGCTGCTGATTGGCTGGAATGTGTCTGCTGACTGTGAGGTACAGGGTCAAAGTTTACTCTATGATGACATAGGGGGCGGACCGAACAGCGCATATGTTCGCCATCCGTGGCGAACCGTTCGGGACATCACTAATGTGCATATCTCTACAACATGCATTATAAGCAAATATGTTTACCTGGCCATTGGAGTGGAACAAAAAAACCTCCATTTATATTAATATGCACAGAGATTTGGAATAGGACGCAGGTAACTTTTTGTTTACCTGTATGTTTGAAGATCTATAAAATACATTAGGTTTCCTTACATTAAACTTTTTAAAGAAAGTGACACACACATTTTAGTTATTAAATTTGTTGAATAATGGAAATAAAACCTTTTTAACAGTTTTATATTCCATAAATATGTATATATAGATGTGTATATATATATTTTTTTTGTTTTACTTATTCATAGAAAAACATGGTATAAAGTCTACTTGATCAGAACATTAAATACTCATTATATGAGAAATGTACACACTGGAAGATGTAAGACCATAACAATACAAAAAAGTACAATTAAGATAAAAAAAAAACTGGAATTTATAAAAGCACCTGCTTCATTATGAACTGTCCAAAAGAACATATGTCAGAGCTAAATCTAAAAATATCAAAATAAGAATTTTTTTTTAACTGTAAATATCAATTGCCCAACTATTTTCTAAATCTTTGAAGTCCTATTTTCTCCAAATAATAATTTTACATTAAAAAAAAAATCCTTCTCCAGTCAGTAAAGATGGCATAGGGAGGAAATAAAAGATTCAATACCTGAATAATACAATTCTTGATATCAAGTGCCCATATATAAATGTATCACTCAATTAATTGAGATTTATTTCTAGTGAGGGTGATTCTGAATAGCATATCTAATGAAAGAGGAAAACTGTGTTTATAAAACTCAAATTTAGGTGGAGGTCAGTTTGGCGACTTGCGTTGTTTCATTACATTTTTTTAAAATAAAATTAAAAAATAAAAATACAGTCTTGCCAGGCTTTCCAGCCCTTTGAGCTATCATTGTGAGAATATTGATTGTTTTACAATGTCCTGGTTTATTCTTTTACTCCAGTTTCACGTCTCAGGGGTTCTTCTGAGCCAGTTTAATGGTGACTGTTTTAACCTCCGTATATTCTGCCAGAGCATACTCTCCCCTGTAAACAAAAAATGGTATTTAAGTGTTAGGTTAATGGGAGCAATAAACATCATGTCAATAACCTGTGAAACAACTTATATGCCCAAAGGGAATTTTACTATAAAGACGTTGATAACTTATAAAATGGGTAATGCATTTCTTCTACACCCAATTGGATTGGCGGCCATTTTCCTAGGCTAGAATTTGAAATTAAAGAAGGATTCACACGTCAGAATTCATTCTGTCTACACGTCGATGCTCAGTATATTGTTCCACATTTTATTTTTTTAATGAGCAGCACACTCAGCTACTGAACAACTAATTTATATTTGAGCACAAATCTTTAAAATTCTTTGAAGAGGAACTTCAAACCCAGGGTACATTCGAACAATGTTAGCTCAAGTGTACAAAATGAATTAGATCTGCCACTTGTGATGGAATAGCCCAGGTGTCTCCAACTGAAACAAATGGGAAGAGCACTAAACAGTCACACACGTGATTTCACATGCACCTGCAAATTAAGTCCTTTTTAGACTTGAGCACAAATGCAGGTACAAACTCAAATTCATTTTAATCCTTTTTAGTCCTAACGAGCAGATCCGTCCAGTCCACAGGTAAATTCCAGCAGATCAACTCCCTTGGACATTAAAAGGAAGTTGATTTTTCTGAACCAGTTGAAATGCATGTGTGCGCATGCCTAGTGCTTTCCCCACAGTAATCAACAGCAGGGGTCATTGCCCATGTGCAGTGCTGCTTCAGTTCAAATGAATGGAAGATGATGCTGGCAACCCTAAGGACATTAGCAATATTTACATATTAATGCCATTTTACCAATTTACCTGAATTGCATGTTTTCATCTAGATTCAACAATTATACATTCATTTTATAATTTTGATACAAATTTGTATCCTTGGAATCCCAGTTTTTGCATTTTTTTTCCTTTTCATTACTAGTACCCTTTTCTTAGTACACTGTAGTTCAAAGTATATTTTTATATACTGTAGTTCAAAGTATATTTTTGTTATACACTGAATACAGTGTATAGTGTACATATTCATTCTATGTAATATTACCACCTGCTAGATTATCCTGGTTCTATCTAGTCACACAGTTATAACCCAGGGGTGTCCAACACTGGCCTCCAGTTAACTGTTGGTTGATGCTCCTTGTTATATTTAAACGTAATGAATATAAAGCACACAAAGTCATAGACAAATGTCCTTGATTTCCAATATACACAAAATCTTACTTACAGTTCTCTGCCATTCCCTGACATCTTGAAACCTCCAAATGGTGTCTGTGCATGCAGGGCATTGTAGCAGTTAATCCTGAAATAAACACAGTCTGTGTGAGACAAAGTGATCATTTTAATTTTTTCCATCTACTCTCCATAGATTTTCTCCATGCATTCCACAAAACCAAAAAAGATTTTAAGAAGCTGTTATCATTTGAGTGTATGGTAACCTAGAACACAACAGCTGTTGGAACACGTTACCAGGAAACAGACACTAGCTAGGTGAGCGTCGTGGGATATGTAGTCTACAACCGAAGAAGTGCTAAAGCTTAGTCATCACTTCCATAATAAAAGCCATGCACAAAGAATATATAGTTTGAATTGCAACATTATTATTCAAGTATAAGTGTGGGTGGTAGATCGGACAGTAGGTGAAGCTGTAGCAAGTATATATAGTTAGAGAATGAAGTACGATTTGTCAATATTCTGTGTGTCTGTAAATCTAAAGTTTTCTATAATTTTTCTGCTGAGTGAAATGCAAACACATCTTGGTTGCAGATTAGCGTGATTTTAGAGACAGAGATATAGCTTTGTTTACTTTTTCTGTTTTTTTTTTTTAGTCTAAGAGTGCATTTCTGTTTCCCTTATTTTTCTGTGGCATTCATTTTTCACACTTGAAAAAAAGGCTCATGTGTGAGTCAAAATGTTGCGGTTTGTGTTCATGCTGTCCACTAAATAAAACAAATGTTATATTTGGAGAAATCTGGACCATTCTTTTTTTTGTTTGCCGTTTATTACTGGTGTGGCAATACTGTATGGCATCCCATTTTAGTAACTGCTCATACATTGTTTGTTATATGTTCACTTTCCGCAATAGTTTTTTTCTTTTTGATTTCCTTATGGGGATCCTGCGTAGCCACTGGATATACGGAATTGGGAACATTATTTTTACTGTGAATCAAGGTTATTTAATTTTTTTTTTATTTTTTTTATAAATTCTTTATTTTTGGTTTCAAACCACAGACAAGACATTTCATAAATGAAATGAGCAGTGTGTACATGCAAGAGATAGATATCAAATACTATTTGCAATTCTAACCACCAGCCAAGCTTAAGCCGTGGGATGAAGGTTTTTGATAAGGAGTGCGTTCATTGCGTTTAATTAAGTACATCCTTGTTCACATTATCATCATTATTACTACCTAATACAAGGTAAATTGAAATTCCCAGAGTGAACCTTGGGATGCCTGGTCACTACATTAATTAATTAGTATGTCAAATTTTTACACCTATATAATGCTAGTTTAAGTTTTGCTACACCTGGCATTGCTGATAGATGGGGGGGGGGGTTATCATTCAGTTGTTTAGACCAGTCGGGCTGAGGGTGATCATTGCTATCTAACTTATTACCTAGCGTGAGAAACAATAGCAAAAAAAAATAATCTGAAAGCATTATGCAACTAAAGTAAACCAATGTGGGCATATTAGAGAGACAGTCTCTCCGTGAGGTGAGTCAGATGGAGTTCTCTGTTGAGAGGTCGAGTGTGGACCATTGAGGGACAAAAGGTTTTGCCGTAGCCGGGTTCAACTTGTGGGGTGTCCGGTCCGCTGCCTCAGGTTCCCGTAGGTGCTAGAGAGTCCTGGGAGAGATTCAGAGTTGTCAGCAGTGCCTTCACTTCTTCCATGTCGTGTATGAAAAACGTTTCTTCTCCCTTAATGACCATGAGGGTGTGTGCCATGTGCCATCGATATTGGCAGTGGTGCTTTCTTAGCAAGGGCAAGAAAAATCTCCTCCATGCCAGGGTACCTCCCGAGAGGTCTGAGTAGACTATTAGTTGCATGTTCTCAAACTGGTAGGGTGTGCAATCCTTGATAGTTTTGTGGACGGCCACCTTGTCCCCTTCACAACGAAAACTGACTATTAGGTCTCGTGGTGCGGTGGCTGGGGCCTTAGGTTGTTTGGGTATTCGGAATAGTCCTTCTAGTCCCACTGCTTTGCCTTGTCTCTGGGTTAGGATTGCAGCTATCAGGCATCTTATAAAGTGCGGTAATTCCGCTGCTGAAATGTCCTATCTGATTAACATTCTTTCTACGTCTTAGGTCCTCCAGCGCAGGTCGTAGGACTCGTTTTGTTTCTGCAAGCTGAAATTGCCTGCTTTAGGCAGGCAATTTGTTGTGTGTGTTCTCCTGTGGTGGTTTCCTGCACTCTCAGCCTCCCCGATAGGCCTTTGATGTATGTGTGGATCACTGCCAGATATGACAGTATGTTCTGAAGGTCAGCCAGGACTGATTTGAGAACCTCTGTGGTAACTGGTGCTGTGTCTGGGCCTCGCAGCACCGGATCTGGAGGCTTTAAGATTGGTGGATGATCCATATCCTCCTCAGGGAGAAATCGTCGGAGAACTCAGAGGAGGCCTTGGGGTACGTGGCCATTTTGAGTCCAGATGCACTGTTTGCTTGGCACAGGAGGTCTTCGATATGTAGGCCTGGACGCGGTTTGTCAAATTTGAATTTTTTTCTTTTTTGTCCCATATCGGTGCTAGTGTAGCAGGTAAGTCCTCTGGGATCACCGATTTGGAGTTTTGGAATCTCCAGTGGGTAAAAAGATAGCCGAGTGCCCAGAGTTCTCTTGTGATGCGGCTACTCTGCTCAGTTGCTTGGCTCTGCCCCTTCCACCTACATTCTCCTATTCTGAATGATTGATATCGCTTTGTTAGAGGTTTTTCCATCAGAGACTTTGTTGCCACTAAAGTTTATTGTGAGCTCAGCTAGATTATAGAGGAATATGTTTTTACTCCCTCTGCTGGCAACAGTCATTTATTACATCATCTATACTTAGGATGGAGATGAGATGTCCTGTTAAGCACTTTAGAAATTTGATAGCATCAGATGGGTATTTTACTTAATAAGAGGGTTTTTTAAATTATATCCTATATGTATGAAGTATGCTCCGATTTTACATATATTTAGAATAAAGATTACATTATTCCTTCTATACCACTGTTTTCTTTTTTTTCTGAATTTTACTATCTTTGTTTCAACAGAATCCAGTCCAAGGGATCTAAACTATAGGTGTTAATAAAGAACGATGCATTATGTAAGTAAGAATTTTCGGCATGTATATGTTTGTATTGCTATAAAGTTTCTATTGGTTTCTAATTTAAACTGTACTAAGAGACAAGTAGTTGAATACAATATAGTCATTATAATCTTGTTTAAGATCAGCTAGCAGTGGTTTGAAAAGATTGCCTGTGCTAGCATTGTGGCTGCATTACAAGTAATATGGGTATAGTGACTATTATCTATATCTGACTTTGCTGTATGTGCAGAAGGAGGTCATACAAGTGTTGCATCTAATGACTGAGTTAAACATTTCCTAGATTTCAGATCTCACAGATTGTAATAGTTTTATTTAAAAATACCTCAGATAGGACAAAAATAATTAGAATTTTTTTGCCTAGTTGAGGTATTTTTAAATAAAACTATTACAATCTGTGAGATTTGAAATCCTTGTTTAGTGAATAAGTGAGTGTGCTGGATTGTGTATTTTGTATGTGTTTTGTTTATAAGCAGTATTTAGAACATTGCCTATTTTAAATTATATATATCACCTTTACTTACTAAGCTCTGGTGGTGGTGTATTGATATTGATTGTCCTGTATAACCTGCATTAGGCTAAGCTATGATATTGGTGTATTACTGAATCCCCATATTATAGAGCTAAACTGAGTATAACCTGCATTAGACTAAGCTATGATATTGGTGTATTACAGATTGCCTGTATTATAGAGCTATACTGAGTATAGTCTGAATTAGGCTAAGCTATGGTATTGGTGTATTACTGAATCCCCATATTATAGAGCTATACTGAGTATAACCTGCATTAGGCTAAGCTATGGTATTGGTGTATTACTGAATCCCCATATTATAGAGCTAAACTGAGTATAACCTGTATTAGACTAAGCTATGATATTGGTGTATTACGGATTGCCTGTATTATAGAGCTATACTGAGTATAGTCTGAATTAGGCTAAGCTATGGTATTGGTGTATTACTGAATCCCCATATTATAGAGCTATACTGAGTATAACCTGCATTAGGCTAAGCTATGGTATTGGTGTATTACTGAATCCCCATATTATAGAGCTAAACTGAGTATAACCTGTATTAGACTAAGCTATGATATTGGTGTATTACGGATTGCCTGTATTATAGAGCTATACTGAGTATAGTCTGAATTAGGCTAAGCTATGGTATTGGTGTATTACTGAATCCCCATATTATAGAGCTATACTGAGTATAACCTGCATTAGGCTAAGCTATGGTATTGGTGTATTACTGATTCCCATATTATAGAGCTATACTGAGTATAACCTGCATTAGGCTAAGCTATGGTATTGGTGTATTACGGATTGCCTGTATTATAGAGCTATACTGAGTATAGTCTGAATTAGGCTAAGATATGGTATTGGTGTATTACTGAATCCCCTTATTATAGAGCTATACTGAGTATAGTCTGAATTAGGCTAAGCTGTGGTATTGGTGTATTGGTGATTCCCTGTATTATAGAGCTATACCGAGTATAGTCTGCATTAGACTAAGCTATGGTATTGGTGTATTACTGAATCCCCTTATTATAGAGCTATACTGAGTATAGTCTGAATTAGGCTAAGCTGTGGTATTGGTGTATTGCTGATTCCCTGTATTATAGAGCTATACCGAGTATAGTCTGCATTAGACTAAGCTATGGTATTGGTGTATTGCTGATTCCCCGTATTATAGAGCTATACGTAGTATAGTCTGCATTAGGCTAAGCTATGGTATTGGTGTATTACTGAATCCCCATATTATAGAGCTATACGGAGTATAGTCTGCATTAGGCTAAGCTATGGTATTGGTGTATTGCTGATTCCCCATATTATAGAGCTATACTGAGTATAGTCTGCATTAGACTAAGCTATGGTATTGGTGTATTACTGAATCCCCATATTATAGAGCTATACTGAGTATAGTCTGCATTAGGCTAAGCTATGGTATTGGTGTATTACTGAATCCCCATATTATAGAGCTATACGGAGTATAGTCTGCATTAGGCTAAGCTATGGTATTGGTGTATTGCTGATTCCCCATATTATAGAGCTATACTGAGTATAGTCTGCATTAGACTAAGCTATGGTATTGGTGTATTACTGAATCCCCATATTATAGAGCTATACTGAGTATAGTCTGCATTAGACTAAGCTATGGTATTGGTGTATTGCTGATTCCCCATATTATAGAGCTATACTGAGTATAACCTGCATTAGACTAAGCTATGGTATTATCTGAATTCCATTTTTAGACCTAGTGTGGCTATACAAATAAAGTCCTGCATTCAATCTGGGATGGTGTGCAGATTTCCTATAAATGGCCTGGTAGTAAGTGGTTGATGAAATATCAGTAATTTTGGCTCCAGTACTCACCACACTGTTCCAGACTGCAAGGCCGAGGCAATAGTCAGTGCTTTGTCCAGGCTCCCGGTGAACACAGCTGCTGTCAGACCATACTGTGAGCTGTTTGCTCTCTTTACCACTTCCTCTATGTTTTTGAATTTCAGAATTGCTTGAACAGGCCCAAAAATCTGCAGAGGACAGGGAAGTTATGCTTTCAGCTACTCAGAAGGACGTCATTTATTAATATTATGCAATATACAGGTGGCATTGTAACAGAAGATGGGAGAGTGCTGTTAATATGTATCCTACAGCAGGAATGTCACATTCCAGTTCCTGAAAATCTCACAAACACTCCAGAGCTCTCCAGCTGTTACAGCGCTGACTCTCCCATGATGCTTTGCCAGCCTGTCAATGCACAGCAGCTGGGAAGCTGTGACGTGCAGGAATCATGACAGATGTTGTTGAATAGCTGGGGACCTATGTTTTGGTCTATTCTGAGCCACAATATTGCTTTAAAAATGTTAATTAAAAAACAAAACACTTGCAATGCTATGGCTCTTGTGAGTTGGGTTTGATTCATAGAGAACCAGAGTGAACATGGTAGAAACTGCATAATTTGTGTACATGGTTTTCTGATTTCGTATTGCAGCCCATTACATTAGGGATAGACGAAATGCATGGATCTTAGCAAATGTCACATGAAACTACCTTCAGTGCTTGTCATATAGATAGTCTCCTGATAGGATGTGGAAATGCCTGGTGACATTGTAATAGCCAACTAAACCTTTAATTAGCTTGGCACATTACAGCCCAACAATATATCAGGAGATTTAGGTAGAGCGCTATGGTCTAATGATAGTCAACCAGTTGTAAAATCATTCTATTTATAAAAGTGTCCATTGGAGCTGTCAATCAGGCAACCAGAAATCTCACTTCCAGGTTGCCAGTGTCAATTTTGTCCAAACTGTGCATTATACATGAACAGGTCTGGGTGTAACCTGATAACAGCCGCAGTATGGCTGCTGTCAGTTTATAGAGTAGTCCCACTCATCCTGTCAGCAGGATAAATTACTTTACAAGAAGTGCTAGACAGTGGGACAAGATCAGCCCTTATTGATGAAAATGCCCTGCTCCTGATCGGTGGAGAATCTTCCTGGTTAGGGAGGTGTCTAACTGCTATTTACTCTTGCTGAGCAAGTGTCAGTCATTTTATAATCTTTTAAAAGTAATTTAAAACATATATATATATTTTTTAAAGTATTATTTACAGAATGAACCAAACCAATAGGTGGTCATTGTGCCCATGTCCTGATCTGGTATCATTAACAGCATTTACACAGGCATACTTTTCAATGATTATACTGGTATATACCTTCTTTTGAATTGTATAAGTCGAAACCTAATTTACAAATTACTGGTTATGTGCAATGCACTGAGTGTTGGGCCAATACATCAGTCACTGATATACCTGTGAATGTGTAGTATATCTACTTAATATATGCTTTTCAATAGACAGCTGTGCAGTTTTGCAATTCTCACTGGAGATATAATGGAAAGATGTAAGCCACACAGTACAGCTTAGTACAACCGTCTCTGCGTCACCCAGATAGCTGACATGAATAAGGACTATCTGTACATCCAGTGCTTTGTACTCATGTGTAAAATAATGAGCTTTTTTATGCCAATGATGTCAATATTTGGTAATAGCTGTCTTTGAATGGATAACCCCTTAAGGATAAGGACACAGTAGGCAGCAGTGCCGTTCAGCATCTCCATGCTCTGCATGGGGACACTGAATTTTCCTCATAGAGATGCATTGATTCAATGCATCTTTATGTGGAAGTACTGATTGGCCAAAACGGTGTTTGGCCCTGGTACCTTGCCGAATTTAGCCAATCCAATGCTTTCCCCATGGGAAAAATTCCAAAAGATTTGCAATTCTGATGTCACCAAGGGGGCAGGGCCAAATCCGGCAAATTCGAACGGCGACGGAAATAAGGTGAGTTTTATTCACTTTTAAGGGGGCTAAAGGGGGCAGGGGGTAAGCCACCTAAATGGTGGGTTTTGCACTATAGGGTCAGGAATACACGTTTGTGTTCCTGACCCTATAGTGTTCCTTTAAGGACACAAGCAACTTTTGCATTTTTTGACATTTATGTACAACTGCAATTTACATCTCTCTCATTTATTGTACCAACACATATTATATACAGTTTTTTAGAGGACAAAAGGGGCTTTAATTTGATGTAACATATACATATATAAATTCTCATTTATTACAAAAACATTTCAAAATAGAAAAAAAAAAAAAAAATCTTCATGTTTTGGCAATAATAATGTGTGCAAAATATGTCCAGCTTAGGAAAAGTAATTCAAAATCAAATCATAAAATTTCAATGTGAAACAATTTTAAAAGTTGGTATGTTTGTTGGAAGTTTAATACCCATCACAGAAAACAAAATTGCCACACAAAAGTATATTTTAGAATAAAGTAGACATCACAGGCTATTTACCTAAGGTTATTTTGACACTTTTTACGTAGCTATTCACCGCCAATGTCTGCTAAATACTGGAGTAAAATTGTGTTTTTTTTCTTTATTTTGGCATATACACATATAACATTTTGTAATGAGTATTTTGTAAATCTGGTGTGTGCTACTCCTGTACAGAACCCCATATTGTGTTCAGCTGAGTACAACGGTACCCCCATTGTATGCCTTTGCCACTATTCTGTTAAGCTACAATGTCATATTGGAGACCATGCTATTTGAGTTTCTATAGTTAGAATTTTCATAGATGGTACTATGTCTGATTCTGTGGCATTATAGCAGTTTGCCTGTACAACTAACCCCACAAAGGCCTTCCATTTGAGAAAGCAGACACTCCAGGGTATCTTAATAGGCATATATTATACCTTAACTTGCCACCAGTTTTTCACCAATTTATTTCAAATTTTGTGGTGAGAAAAAAAGTAAAAAAGTTTTTACATACATGTTGCATGTTTTCTGAGTATTTCGTACATTTGATAAGTGTCGCTGTAATAAATTCCCCCTAAGTATGCTCAGTTGTATCTTCTGACTAAAACAATATGCCCAGTGTATGACCTAGACACTAATTTGTGAAGTTACAGTGCTGTAAAAGAAACCTGTCAATTTCAGTTCTTTAAGTGTGAATTTTCATAGAGGGTTTTGATGGGACCATGTTCTATTTTGAAATATTTTAGCAGGCTGCTTATTCCAACTACCCCAAATAGGCATACCATTTCTTAAAGAAGACATTCCAGGGTAATTCAAAAGCCATATTTTGAACCTTAGCCTGAAATCATTTTTTCCGCTAGCCTGTACCAAGTGTAGTGGTAACTTTTGAATGGTTTTTTGACACACAGTGAGTTTGTACTGTATATTTTGCAAACCTTATGTGTGCTACGGCTCTACAATACTGCCCATCTCAGCTATGTCACCTGAGCACAGCAATACCCCCATATGTACCTTTGCCAGGCAGGGGCATTTTAGCCGCGAGGCAAACAAGGCATTTGCCTTGGGCGGCATTTTCCAGGGGGCGGCAAAAAAAGCTGCCCCCCAAATGCCCAGGGCAAATGTCTTGTTAGCCTTGTGGCTAACCGACATGCCGAGCGGGCGGCGCTGGGCGGGCGGGCGGCTGGCGAGGGAGCTCTTCCTCTGAGCTGTCTGCTCAGCTCCCTTGCGCGCCGCAGAGTGAGGCTGGGAGCCGGAATATGACGTCATCAACCCGGCTCACAGCCTCACTCTGAGGCACGCGAGGGAGCTGAGCAGACAGCTCAGAGGAAGAGCTCGCTCACCAGCCGCCCGCCCAGCCCAGCCCAGCCCAGCAGCCACTGGACCCCCAGGGAGAAAGGGAACCCTCCCCCTCCCCCCCAGCATTCCCAAAGGTAAGGAGGCTGGAGGGGGTAAAAAAACAAAAGTGTTAATGTGAGTGTGTCTGTTAGTGTGTGTGTCTGTCTGTTAGTGTGTGTGTGTGTCTGACTGTTAGTGTGTGTGTATGTTTGCCTGTGAGTGTGTCAGTGAGTGTGTGTGTGTCTGCTAGTGAGTGAGTGAGTGTCTGTGTGTGTCAGTGAATTTGTGTTTCTGTTAGCTAGTGTATGCGTATCTGTCAGTGAGTGTGTGTGTATTTAGAAGGCGGGGGTCTTGCGCGTGTGGAGGGGGGAATTTTTTTTACCAGGTTGTTTTTTCCAATTACTTCACAAAGGCATACCATTTCCCAAAGAAAACACCCAAGGGTGTTTCAAAAGGCATATTTTGAATCTTGGCATAGGATCGTTTTTTCACTAGCCTGTACCAAATAGAGAGATAATACGTATTTTTTCTCTTTTTTTAAACTTTTTTTTATTTTAAAAACTTTTTTACCTTTTTAAAAGCTTTTTTTTTACTATTTTAAAACTGTTTAAAAGTTTTTTTTTACTGTCAACCCCCAACTAGCCTCACAGTAAATCCCCCAAATTCTCCACTAACTTCTACCCACCCTGGCTAAATAAATTAATATTTTACAAATATTTAAGTAACTAAATAAATGTAACCCCTGAGGGTTAAAAAAATAAATAAATAAAAGTTAACCCTCAGGGGTTTAAAGAAAAAAAATAGATCACAGTGAAATACTGTCTCTGTATTTTGATCACTGCAGACAATGATCAAAGGGCAGGGAAGGGGTTACATTTTATTGGGAAGGGATGAGGGGGGGTTGGAATTTTACAACTTTTTCTTGAAGAGAGCAGCAGATCAGCACCGATCTGTCTCTCTGCACTTCACAGCTCACACAGAGCTGCAGGGAGACAGGTCGGATTTCACTGCAGCACGTGTGATCGCTCTTACTCCTGGTCAGAGCTATCACATGGGCTGTATCAGTGAAAATGCTTGCGGTAGTGTGCCTCGGACACGGAGGCACACTACAGGAACATCAACCCCACAATTGCGGCAATCTGGGGTTAATGTTAGTATTCCTTAAGGGGAGGAATGCAATGATGGAAAATGTCCATCCAGCGTCCTTAAGGGGATACAGTGCAGAGATAAATGAATATTTAGAATGCTCTTTACCATAAACAACTACTCACTAACATTAGTAAAAGGCATTTTAAAAGTAGTAGATGGACAGTAAAAAGTAGTGAGAAGCTTGTATATCTATTATCTAAGTCTGTACATGTCTACATGTTTTTATTTCAAGATATACAGATATTTATGGTCATCACATCTACTACAAACAGTGTAATGTAACATATTTAAACTTCAACCAGTCTTCCATTCCACAAGCGAAAACGTTCCATCTTTAAAGACAATGACCCATTCCTGTACTTTACTGAACCCCCTGAATTACCTCTTCCTTGGCTATCCTCATGTCATCTGTCACCTCAGAAAATACAGTTGGTTTAATGAACAGTCCTCGGTCCCCGATTGCTGACCCACCACATTCCAGCTTTGCTCCCTCTTCCTTCCCACACTGTATGAATCCAATGACCTTGTTAAATTGTTCTTGGTCAACCTAAGGATCACAAAGAGGAATTGTCAGTGAATTATAAGTTTTCAAAAAAAGCCCCCCACCCCCCAAAAAAACCCAAAGTTAATGCTAAAAGTAATAATATGTGTACTTGCCTCATTTCTACACTCCATTGAGGCTTAGTTTGAAAAGATGAAGAAATGCATATTAAAATAAATTCAATATTATTATTATATATATCTGTGCTGCTACACAACTATATATGCAAGTCACAAATGCTAGCTCATGTTCTACCTTTACTAAGGGAAAGGGCTCACATTTAAAACTTTTTTGACTTTTGTATAATCAAAACTGAAACCACTAAATAATATTTAAACAGTGAAGATATTACAAACCCCATCTCTACTCATTCAGGAAAGAGTTCCTTTAGTGCAAGGATCTCATAATATACGACCTCCCCCCTCTACCCAGAAATTGATGGCCTATACCACCTAGAATTCTTTAATTGCAATAGATGGGCAGAGAATTATGGGAGCTCTAGTTTGGGGGGATCAGAGTTTGGGATGCCTGTTGGTCTAATGCCTACATTTTCTCTCATTTGGAAAACAGTGGAAATTTTGAAAATTGAAAAGCCATGATTATCATATGCATACATATATTTCATCATGCACCCCAAAACAATGAATAATTATTTCATTTATAGAAGCCCCCATTCCACATTTCCTGCATTTTTAAACTACCTCTCCAATGAATAAGTTTAATGGTGGCACACCTGCTTGTACCAAATTGCCAATTGTTCTTAGCAAAGAAAAGCTGTTTTGGTTTGATTTTGACCCCCAGTCCTGTTTACTGATAACTTCCTATTCCTCATCATATTACTATACACCAATGATGGCCATTCATGGACCTCCAGCTGTTGGTCAATATTTCACATAATTCTGTTAGTCTTTGCCTGTCAGATGCATATGTGAATTTTTAAACCGCAATCTCTGGAGTGCCGTGTGGACACCCCTGATGCAAAATTACTACACAGTTTTGTTATCTTGTCATTAATATTACTCTCGACCTTGTGCATTCTAACAATATTGTTGCATCTTGTAAACAGCCACTGCACACATAAACACACAATGAAATCTCATCTATTGTTCAAGGATCTCTACCTGGGGACCTTGTTCAGTTTTGGGATCTAGTGGGTCTCCCACCAGCCGCCGTTTGGCATGATCCACACTGCGTCGGACAAACTCTGCATAGATTGATTCCTCTACAAAAACACGAGAGGCTGCAGTGCAGCACTGGCCTTGATTGAAGAAGACACCTTGATGAGCACACTCTACAGCAAGCTCCACTGCAGAAAAAGTCGAAACAAAGGTTAAGAGCAAACAAAAAACATAAACAATCACAATGTTAGGCGCATCATGGGTGACAAAAAAGAAAACATTAATCATACACTTTCAACATGGGGAACATGCTGTTCTCCACTCTAGTGTCCTCACAACAATGACAAAATTTCACAATGAAATAAAAAATATATATAATTAAGGTGCGCACAGTGTCAAATGTATATACAAAAAACTCACCATACAAAGGTTTTCATCTGATAAATCGACACAGAGAGAAAGAGAGAGAAAAAAAGATTGTGGATTTATCAGTTGGAAGCCTCTAAAGCTTCTGAGAAAGGGGGAAGTATCATAATTTATCATTTTTCATGTAAAACGTTTTTATACATTTGACACTTTATGCACCTTATTTATATTTTTTTTATTTCAAAGGTTAAGAGGGCCACAAGATGGACACCCAAGCTAAATACCCTCCATGTTAAAGAAAGTGCACAACACTGGTCTATTAGATAAATTGATTAAATTTCCCCTACGTGACTTATTCACTCAACACCAAATTCTCCAATTCTCTACAATTCAGTGTTCAGTAAATAAGGGGTAAACCCCATTATTAAAAAGGTAATTTTGCAGATACTTAGATTCTTTTATTTGTATGTTTATTTTGACAGGAAATAAACAAAATTTGACAGATATACCAATATTTTATTTGGTCCAATTGGTACACAATCTCTCATTTCTATAATGTCTCTATTCGTCTGAAATGTCCTGGTGATAGCCGTCTACAGTAAAATTTGAGCAACCGTTCAGAAATGGTTGCATTGTGCAAACTAGTTGTTAGGTTATGTTGAATTTTTGATATACACTGAAATCACTTACTGTCACAATCTGCTAAGACAATACATGGATTTTTCCCCCCGAGTTCCAAAGTGCAGCGTTTCAAGTTACTTTTAGAGGCAGCTTCCTTAATTAATTTTCCAACCTGAAGAAATAATATTAGAATGAAACTCTATTTCCAAAAATGCACTTATATTTGTAATGCTTACATTTCATTGATACAAAATTGTAATTTTTTTTGCTTTGCTCTATATATCCACTTTAGTAAGATAACGTACTTATGGCACTTACACTATCCCATTAATCAGAGTTTTAAATGTTCCACTTCTGGGATCTACAAATAATTTGCTAAGGGTCACATCCACCTCTAGATGGCGCTGTTTCTATGCAGAACACCAGGCCCAAAGCAACTTCAAACGTGGAGATTATGTTCTTTTGTTGTCCCCCCTCAGTATACTTATTTCTGAAACTCAAGTAGCATAAACTTTATAAAGTAAAAGGTGTAATTAAGACCAGCTTTGATTTCCTACTTATACCGAAAGAGTATTATTGGTTAAACTGCTGCTTTAATATATTTAAATAATCATTTCACAATCTGACTATTTTATTATTGCATTTATTCTGTTTAAAGGGACACTATAGTCACCCAGACCACTTCAGCTCAATGAAGTGGTCTGGGTGCCAGGTCCCTCAGGTTTTAACTCTTCAGATGCAAACATAGCAGTTTCAGAGAAACTGCTATGTTTACATTTGGGGTTAAACAAGCCTCTAGTGGCTGTCATCCGGACAGCCACTAGAGGTGCATCTGCGATGCTGGAGGCATATTATGCCTCCATCGCGCAGAGTGTCCATAGGAAAGCATTGAGAAATGTCCTATTGACAGCTTGAATGCGGCACTTGCCGCACATGCGCATTCGGCTCTGCTGACGTCGGCAGAAAGAGTTGACGTCGGCGGGGGAGGCGAGGTCACCAGCGCTGAGAGAGCCCGGCGCTGGAATAAGGTAAGGGGCACCCTCAGGGCACTCTAGTGTCAGGAAAACCGCTCTGTTTTCTTTACACTATAGTGAGCCTTTAATTACTCCTTGTTCTACAAAGCATCAATTGGTACTGTTAATATTATGTCCTATATGCACCCATAATTTTTATAATATAATAAGATATTATACATTAGAGAGAAAGTAAAAAAATATATATCTTATTATGTTCTTCAAAATGATAGGTGCCCATGTTTGCCTATTTCTCTTTTTGTTAGAAACTTTCACCCAATTCTGGTAGTCACTGAGAGCATCATTTTTGTTAATGTGATAAATAGGGATTTAGTGAAACTATGTAAATTGGGTCTTTCTTTAGTGAAAAAACAGCAGAGCCAATCTTACCTCTGTAGAGCCAGTAAAGGCAACTTTGTCAATGTCTGGATGGTAAGAGATGGCTGATCCAGCAGTAGGTCCATAACCTGGAACAATATTGACTACTCCGGGAGGGAAGCCAGCCTGAAAGGATACGCACATGGTGTTAAGAAATAACACAGGAGGGCTGTACATTATTATTATTTGCACATTAATTAATGTTGTGTGCTGTTTAGATAGCACTTTTTACAGTAATCAAAAGGATAATACAACCGATACGTGGGTATTAAAGGTCTTGCCAACAAATTTCCAATCTAGAGAAAGTGTCAAACAGACAAGGTATTATGCAAGGAGGCTGGAAAACGGTGTTATTTGAACATGTTTAAACACTAGAAAATTAGGGTTCAAGCTCTATTAGTAGGGAGTTTTATTATTAAAACTGTTTTTAAGGAGGTTGTTGCAAGTAATGACGTGAAGTCCAATGTAAGAGGAGACAAAGAACCCTCCTGGAAGATTGGAGAGACTCCTATTAACAGTTAAGGTGGATGGGTGGGTGAGATGCCCTGCAGAGTTCTATGTAGGTACCAGTTGGTGTTTTCAAAGAGTTTTTTCAATGATTGCGTCATGCCTGTTTCCACAGAATTGATATAGGCTTGACAGGTTTTAAAGAACTGTTTTGCTTTATTGTCTCTGTGTGACATGGATTCAATCCAGTCCATTCTCAATGCGTGAAACAAGTTTGCTTTTGTTAACCCTATAGTCAAGGCTTGGGAAGGATCCAAGTATGTAAAATGGATTTCCTGGTGGTTGCCAAAACTTTGTGTATAAATTTGGTACGTATTCTGAAGCTGGAGAGGGTGATGCCTATTATTGCCATCATCTGTGGCGCTGGTGGTAGTATTAGGGAGGCAATGGTGGTCAGGTATGATTAAACTTAAGTCCAGAACTGGGTCAACTTGCCATGGGAAGAAAATAAAGACTGTGCAGGGGAGTATTTAGTGATGGAGGAGATATGCATAGGGCAGGGGATAATATTATAGGTACTGTAATATTTGTATATAAAAAGACAATTCAATAGTAAAATGTATGCTAATCTGAGTTCACTCTTAAGGGATCTGCAATACTACCTCTTTAATTAAAGATCCCATGTAGAGCGACGTGAGAGGTGTCTGTTCTGCTGGTTTTATAACAAGTGTGTTCCCACAGCAGAGCGCTGGACCCATCTTCCAGATCAGCATCATCAGCGGGAAGTTCCACTGAAACAGAATAAAATAGATCACCTTAGCATATCTTCAATAATGTACACTTCGTAGCTCAGTTTGCCAACTTGTACCATTCTATGCCAACTTCACTAGTAGTGCATTACCATGGTATACTAATATACTGTAGTGAAATATCCCCAACAGTTCACTAACTGATCTATGGACATTTGGAGCCTCCTCAGCATGCTCACCTTATTCTGACCATTTGGATCACAATATAGGACATGTTTTAACCTTTCAGCCGGTGCTCTGGCAGTACTAGAATGTATTTATTTGACATTGTTCAATCACGTGTGAGATTCGATTTTGTGTCCACTGCGTGATTTAATGACACTGAAATGCCAAAGAGATTCCTGAGAAGGTCCTCAAAGGATGCAGCAGGTGCAATGGTTCAAGTGTGAACTGTCTGTCTGGTCTTGTCTGTCCTGGGAAAGGGAGGAGTATTGGGTAATGTGAATCCCTAAGGTTCAATGGACCCAAAGATTGGTTAGATAATCTATAGTGACTTGTATACTTTACTGAGCACAAGTCTTTTTAGCATCGGTCACACACTCTGACTACAGTAATAAATTATTTTTAGTTTTTTTTTTTAAACAGTTTTAAACAATGTTTTATTTTTTATTTTGTATAGGCCATCATTTGACCCCCCTGAATACAAACGGAGAGAGAATATGATGTGTACTGCTGCCCTTAATGTCAATGCAGGTGTGCTATACAGCAGGAGTCAACAAGGAGGCACACAATGTTTCCATTTAAATCAGTCTCATCTAAAATAATAACAAGAATTCTGCAGTGTTTAGTTATTTATACCCACTAATAATTGTTGTGGCTGAGTGATTAACACGTTTTTAGCTTAATCTATATGTACAGTGCAGATGTTACAGATTCCGACTATGTGGTTCTAGATCACTCAGATGAATTAGTCCCGTCAACCATGACTCATACTTACGGGGGTAATGGCCCCACACACTCCGACGGGTTCATGCACAGTGAAGCAGAGGAAATTTTCATCTGAAACAAATCACAAAGGACATTAATATCTTATGAAAATAATACAAACATTATTACAGTAGTAATAATAGTAGTAGTAGTAATAACAGAAGAATATTTTAAGAAATTTTCATAATCCTGTATTGATAAAAAATCCAAGTATATTCAACATTTGTTGACTAAAAGATTATACTTTGACGTCTTTTTAATGTTTGAAAATATATAAATATATAGTAAAAGTGAGAATATTTAATTAATGAACAGTTTATGCTTAACCCTGTAAGTCAGTTTCACTTCAAGTAGGTACCTATACCATAGAATAGAGCCAAGAGAAAATAGACCATATTTACAAGTTAATCACCCATTTAATCACAAGCATATACTGTGTAAAATGCTATCTGCTTTGCTTATGGAACATAAATCCTTATTGAAAACCAAAGTTGTGACAGAAAAACGGACATAGAACCATGACCGGAACTGTTCAGGAGAATTCTGAGTTATGTAAAATATACATAATCATAGTATGATACTAAATTACTGACCAACTGGGACAGTCTTTCCTTGTATCTTGTCAGCCCAGCCGGCATAATAACGCAAAGTCCTAATGCAGCCCTCGAGGTCCACCATAAAGGCATGGAGGAAAGGTTTTCCTGTGTCCATTGTTTCCAGTGTCTACAACAGGAGGGAGTAGAAATAAAAACTGAATAAATTGACCTAGGAAATTAATTACAAGATACTGAGAACAAGGGGGGAGCACATGGAGCTTTCATACTGCTGTCATCTTTATTTTGCATGTTAATATAAAGAACCTTGACCCATCCTAAATTACAGTTGGACAAATACAACGCATGCCAAACTCATCTTGGCCACGACTATCGGAATATAAGTGTCCTTGACTGGACTATATAAAACCAAATTTTAACCAATGGTAAAGTATGCATGAGTGAATAGAGGTCACACTAAATACATTTATCTTGTGAAAGTTAATGGCACAGTTTTAACGGTCTAATCAATATTTATGCTTCACTGATGATGCCTAACAAGGCTGAAACGATCGTCTGGGGTTGCTGTGTCTCTTGTGCAGAGGGAACTTGATGGCATTTCAGATCTGGACTGCCCGTATGGGTGGGACCAGTCTGATATGTTTCAGAGATGTTCTCTCTGTAATGGCACAAGATGAGCAAAAACCAGCTTGAGATCTGAGGACCCACTGAAGGGCAGGCTATTTCAGCTGCTGCCCGTTCTCAGAATACTCTTGTGACCCATTTTTTTTTTCCAATCAATATTTATATAAAGTTCTTATTTTACTGCCCCTATGGGGAAAGAAGAAAATAATGCATATCGTGTTTTATGTGTGGGACAGTAACAACCCTCTTACAGCCAGGATGATTCTGTCTCGTTCTAGGAGGTCAGCCAGCCGGTGAAGCAGTTTTCCTCTGCCAGTGGCATCCAGCGTTCTCCATGGGGACCCTTTTTGGAATGCCGCCCTCGCAGCTTCGACTGCCTTGTCAACATCTTCCTGTAAAACACAATCATCAGCAAAAAGAAATAAATAATACCATAAAGAATAAACTGCATTGTAATAAATGTGTGTCCTGACAGATGATACATTTCGTCCATCTTAAAATGATAGCAAAACATGATAAAGCTGATGGTTTCCATATGTTCTCCTTTACTTTTGCTGGTTGTATTCTTTGAAAGTTGCCAAGAGGTTTTCCTAGGCCATCTTCGGCCACTCTTCCACCTGTCGCTTTAAACCAGATGGAGTCTGTTCATTTCAGTAAGGGATTGTGATGTCTGAGAAAAGCATTTTCTGCCAGGTTTACATAAATCTATGAATATGATCATTTACAGTGCAGAGCTGGGGGAGTGTGGAAAAGTTATGAAGCATATATAACTGCTGGCGGTGTGGGATAATGCATGTGTACAAACACGAGCAGCTGTAGAACCAGAACAGTATTCACAGCTAGATTGCCAATCTTTCTATTATTATTATTTTTATTATTATTTAATATTCCTTTGTGCGGTACAGTGGATGTACAACATAGTTACAGATAGAAACATATATAATAAGTTCTACTGGCACAAATTAAAGGAAATTGCATTGACCAATTCAAAATCCAGCTCTAGTAGCCCTTTAAGCATGTTTACAGTGTAATTGATGTACTTAGACGGCCCACCACTATGTATTGGGGCACATTTTCCAATATACGAAGAAAGTCACCAAGGGCTAATGTAACACAAAATAGTTAATCAGATGTAGTTTACTGACCTTGTTTACACGATCATAGAGCCATATGAATAACTTGTATTAATTGCATAAGTTAATTAAGTGTTTAAATGAATCAGTATGAATAGTGTAAATATGCAGTATATAATTAGTTATAAATGTCTCCTACAAACAAATTTGAATAACTTTATTAAATAACCTTATTTAATAAATCTCTTGATCTGAAAGTCTGTATTATTAATTGGGCACTGGGCAGTGTATTATACTGCTGCAATGCTCATCCTCATTCTGACATTAATACCTTGTCTGCCTCCTCCACTTCACAGATCTTCTTGCCAGTGGCTGGGTTGGATACAGGAAATTGTCTGCCACTCATGGAGCTGTGCCATTCATTGTTAATGAATATCTGAAAGAAATTGAATTAAATGTTTTCAATTTAAATTTTAAAAGAAACTTATTCCTGGACAAAACTGACTGGTATGAAAGTCACGTATGAGGTCATTGATTTACTCCATGCATTGGCCATACACCTAAACATTCTATTTTAATCCATTTTACAGTTTGCTAGTAATTTAAGGTGTAGTCCCATAGATAGTCTCAGAACGTGCTTTAGTTTCACAGAGGGTCTTAGAAATCTCAAAAGTCAGCATTAATAATGAGAGAAGCCAAGCTTGTGTGGGCTGCATGAAAGAGTGTCTCACTGCATTCCATCTAATTGTAGGAACTGTCTGGAAACTGGGAGCTGAAAGCTAATTCAGGAATTATTGTTCTATGCAAATAGTGTTTGTTTCTGTAAACAATCACCTATATTCTAAGGTTCTTGATTGATGATGTATAGCAGGCATAGGCAAGCTTTGGCACTCCAGATGTTTTGGACTACACCTCCCATGATGTTTTGCCAGCATTATGGGTGTAAGAGCATTATGGGGGATGTAGTCCAAAACATCTGGAGTGCCGAAGGTTGCCTAGCCCTAATGTATAGTATCATTATACCACACACCCCCTAGAATGTAAGATTGTTTAGCAGGGCCTACCGCTCAGCAACTGCCAAATCTGGTAATGTTTTATAAAAAATAATAATATTTATCATCACCTTTTGGTTGCCTCATCTAGAATGTATTGCTATGGTAACATTAAATTACCTTTGTGTGCTTTATGGATGCTAAATGTGATTTTCTACATAAGTTTGTGTTTCTTCTGTTTTGACCTAGCTAGCTCATGAATACCATGGATTTCACCTTGTATAGTTGTGCACTTCTTTGTTGATAGCAACATTTTCTGAGCATTTGTCTGAACTCTGCTACCACACTTCACCATCGCCTATATTTTATTCGTTACAGTTATTTCCAACTCAAGCACTACTTCTAGTTCTTTATAGAGTGTCCAAACCATGTGATCTAAATATTCCTTTTTTGAATGTCAAATTACAAGGGCCCCATGAACCTGAAAAGTTGGTCCTTGGATGTGAAACAGTGCAACTTAAGACAATGGGTACTCAGATGGTCAAAGGGATTGGAGAAATATTATCAAGCAAAACATGATAAATACCATGACAAAAATGAATATCATAAAACATTACATAGAAAAGAAAGAAGGAACAAACACAGATATTTCCATCAATTCATGGCTGTAGATGTATGTTAAAGTTGGGTTAGAACTTGGAAACATCCAAGGATGTCCAAGAAATCTTTAAAAAAAACTTATAGATTTACCACAGCAGCACATTGGTCCACCTGAATATTGACTTTAAAATTTAAAGAATTTTAGAAACCAGACTAGTAAATGTTTAATGCCATACCTCTAACACTGTTCCCCACATAGCTATTGTTCTTAGAAAAAACATATGTTTCAATCTGAATACCCAAAGGTTTAAATAAAGAACGGACCGGTGGCGGAGTCAAGCTGCAGAAGCAACTGGTCGCATGTTTACTGAGCTCCAAGCCATACAGCCCTTCAAAGCTCATATTTCACCGCAAAAACTTACCTTGGCTGAGTATGGGGGACCCAATCGCAGACCCAATGGGGCGCAAAACAAAGAAACCTAAGCTGGACAGGCCCAGGTCAGGGCTAACAATTGGGGATTTGTGGTGGTAGGCCCAGGGTTCACATGGCCCCAAGATGGCGTTTCGCGCTGTTTATTTTTCCGATTTCTCAGACGACCTCTCTTGCGACACTGAAGTGGGCACTATACACGCTTTGATAACGCACCTGCCAAACCAACCTGCTTCCCCACAGACAAACCCAGAATCTGCACCAGTGACCACAGCAGTGCTGCGAGACCTCCTGGCGGACCTGCATAAAAAAATCTTGGCAGACGTGTCGGTGCTGCGCAGACACCTGCAAGGCCTAACGGGCAGAATAAGCAAACTGGAGCATACCTCCCACACAGGAACACAGTAAATAACTTCACTCAGGCAGTGAAGGAACTGCAGCAACCAATCCTACGAACACCGCTTTGCGGCCCAAGAAGATGCCAAGCGGCGTAATAACATCAAACTCAGTGTTTCGGAGACCATACTGGAACGCGAACTGCCACATTTTATTAGGCGCCTACTAGTGGCCCTGCTGACACCGAGGATCACGGAAACTACAGTACTTGCCGGCATGTTAGGCGTGCCCCGACCCACCAGAGCTCCAGCCACAGCGTCAAGAGACATGGTTCTCCAATTTCAAAACGGCAAAGATAAAGCAGTTATGGGACAGTCACTTTGAAGTGGTGGATTTAACCTTCTACACAGACCCCTTCGGCAGCACTCTGGCATGGAGATGCTACTTTCGGCCACTCACCACCCTCCTGCAACATCACCACATCCGCTATCGGTGGTGCCTGTCCTGAGCCATAGCAATCTTCCATAGAGATACAACATACATGATCCAGGACCTCCAGCCTGACTAAGCAGATCGTAACATTTAATATATCGCACACATGTCTAACTATTTTGGGCTCATTATCTCCACTCTGATAATGTTGAGACAGACACATCAACCTAGCTTGATTAATTACTTCGACTTAGCAAATTGGCTTCATAAAATAAAGATGTGCACAAGCAGTTAAATAATGTTAAATAGTAAAATTAAATAAATAGCAATAATATTTATTTATAAAATATTTTACCAGGAAAGATACATTGAGATTTCTCTCATTTTCAAGTATGTCCTGGGTACACAAATCATTGCATTGTTACATTAGGTTACAATAAAATACAAAAACAATATTAATACACAATATATACAAAATTTAACATAGAAAAGGTAGAAAATATATAATCAACCATAACACGTGCATTCTGTTTTGAGGTATGTAGAGAGGGATCTCTTAAAGGACTTTAAGCTTGGGGAAGATTTTAAAGTGTCACATCATGCCATGTTCTGCAGAGATGTCTGTCCTTGGTTTCTGGTATCCAGTACTCTTTTTACAATCCTTACTTAGTTTTTCTCGTTTTTTTCTGGTTTTCTATTCTATGTCTGGTTTTCTTTATGCTGGGTTTTTCTGGGTTCATTCCTGTAATCCGTCCCTGGAATTCCCAGTGTCCAGGTTTCCTTTAAATGTTTGTTTTATGTTGCCACACCTGTTTGTTTTCCATTTTGTTTCAGTCTGAACCTGCAGCAGTGTTTCAAGTCTCTGCCCTTTCTTGCAGGTAAGTGCTATTGTGGTTTAGAATGGTTCTTTTAGCGAACATTAGGCAGTGTAGGACCTGCCGAATATGGGGTACATTGGCATTGTGGCAGGCTTATGCAATGTATGATCATATAACGTAACTAAATCCCCATACTTTTCATATATAGTGCTTAGTTATGTCTCCTCTTGTTTTGCCCATTATATCTTGTCTTGTTTTATTTTGTAATCCCAGTACAGTCCTGTCCAGTCATGCCCATGTTTCCCTCATGTCTTGTGTACATGTTCTGGGTTCTGCTTTCTGTCCTGCTCTGGTTCTGGTTTCTATTAGTTCTGTCTTGTTTTCATGTTTGGTGACTATCGTAGCCTTGCCTTGTTTCTGTACTGGATACATGTCTGCTGCAGAAAACCCCTATCCAGTTCCTGGGAGGTCTGCATATCTTCTAGTTCCTGAGATCAGCTGTATCTGCATCAGGGTTCTGGTATGTGGCCGCGCAAACCCTAGTGCTCAACGCCAGAGGACGTGTGGTTACCCTGCACCAGGCCCTGATAGTCCATTACCACGCTGAAGACTCCCACTTCTCATCAGGCACTCAGGGGTCCCGGTTTCCGTACCGCCACTCGTGACAGTGCGGGAGGTCGTTCCACAATTGCGGCGCTCTGTAGGAGAAGGAGGATCGAGCCGCTTTCTTTTTGTATCGAGGTAGACTAAATAAAGGTCTGGTACTGGATCGGAGGTTATAGGAGGTGGGAACAGCCGAGGAGAGCATTTTACTCAGGTAGGATGGGAGCTTCCCAGAAAAGCTCTTAAACACAAGGCTGGAAAGATGAAGGGTGTGTCTGGATTCCAGGAACAGCCGGTTTAGTTGTTTTAGCTTGTCACAATGGTGGGTCCTGTAATTACATTATAGCGCAAATCAGCAGAACGAGTTATACAATGTATTGAGTTTATTAAGGTGGGTTTCTTTTAAATATAGTCTCCTCCTTTACTGTGTTGATTCCCTTTATGTATTTAAAGGTTTCTATCATATCCCCCCTGTCTGTTCTTTCCTCCAAGCTAGACATGTTAAGTTCCTTTAACCTTTCCTTGTAAAGGAACTAGCTTACACAAATCACACATATAAATCTGCCACATTGCACATTTCTCCAAAAAATGTGTGTAAGGGGGGTGGCCAGAATAGCAAATTTCTTTAGATTTTTTTCATTATTAGTATTTTTTTTTCGTTGAGGGGTAAATTACTATCTACTGTTTGCAATTATCAAAATGTTACCTGCTGTTACGGAGCTTTTAATGATGTTGAAGTGATCACAATATCACCATTCCGATACCATTACCGGTTCTGTGAAAATGGCCTTATACTAAATCCGACTTCGTTCAGAAGAAGAAGAATTATTGATGCATTAATCTAACTCTTAGCAAATTCAACAGCAACAGAAAACAGCTAGAAAACATATCAACAATGGATTGTAATTTGTAAATTTATCTAGATACCATATAGAAAACACATGCCTGCCTCAAATCCTCATAGATTGTAAGCTCATTTGAGCAGGGCGTTCTTCACTCCTAAACATCTTTCAATATTTGCAAAGTGCGGAGGCATATGTTGGCGCTATATTAATGCTAATAATAATAATTCACTTTCTATGTAATTTCCTTGCAAATGCATAAAAAATTAAACAGACTTTGTTATTATTATTGCCATTTATATAGCGCAAACAGATTGCGTAGCGCTTTACAATATTATGAGAGCGGGGATGTAACTATAAATAGGACAATTACAAGAACGATGGGTTGAAGAGGACTCTGCTCAAACGAGATTAGTCTATAGGAGGTGGGGTATAGAACACATTAGGACAGGAAATGGCAATCAAATAAGATGTGAGTGAGGCAGACCTGGAGGAGAGAGTAGAGCGATGCTCTTTAGAAGAGAGCAAGAGACAGGTATATGAGGTAGAGGTTACTCTGGGAGGCCATAAGCTTTCCTAAAGAGATGGATTTTAAGGCACTTCTTAAACAATTAAAGACATGGGGAGAGTCTGATGGCGTTAGGCAGGTTATTCCATAGGAAGGGAGACGCCCGCGAGAAGTCCTACAAGCGTGAGTTGGCCGTACGCGTGCGAGAAGCAGACAGAAGAAGGTCACGGGCAGAGTGGAGAGATCGAGAAGGGGCATACCTATGGATCTGTGAAAAGACATAAGAGGAGCTCGAATTGGTCAATGCTTTATTTGTATAGGTTAGCACTTTGAATTGACTCCTATAGGATACAAGAAGCCAATGTAAAGACTGACAGAGGGGTGAGGTGTGAGAGGACCGACTAGAGAGGAAAATCAGTATGGCGGCAGTATTCATTACAGACTGTAGCGGGGCAATATGTTTTTTGGGAAGATCAATTAGGAGAGGGTTACAATAATCCATGGGGGAAATTACTAGAGCATGGACAAGCTTTTTGGTACCATCTTGCGTAAGAGAGGGGCAGATGCGGGCTATGTTTTTAAGATGGAATCTACAGGACTTGGTAACATGCTGGATGTGAGGCTCAAAGGTGAGACCAGAATCAAGTATGACCCCGGGGAGGAGAGATATATCTGGGTGTTGTCAGCATATAGGTGCTAGTGGCAATAAGTTTACCAAGAGAGGCAGTATAAAGAGAAAATAGAAGGGGACCAAGGACTCCAACCGAGACAGGACGAAGGGAGGAGGTATCATTAGAAAAGGACACTGATGAGCGTTGGGAAAACCACGAGAGAACAGTCAGAGACAATGATTGAAGAGTTTGAAGGAGAGCATGATCAATGGTGTCAAAGGCAGCAGAGAGATCAAGGAGAATTAGTATGGAGTAGTGGCCTTTGGATTTAGCTGCAATTAGGTAGTTTGTAACTTTGATAAGAGCAGTCTCAGTAGAATGGAGGGGTAGAAGCAAGATTGAAGAGGGTCAAGGAGAGAGTTGGAATTGACGAAACAAGTCGGATGAGTAAAGAAAAGTCTTTCCAGAAGCTTTGAGGAAAAAGGGAGCAGAGATATGGGACGATTGTTAGAGGGGGAGGACGGGTCGAGAGGTTTTTATTTTATTTTTTAGGATAGGTACTACAGTGGCATGTTTAAGGTCAGCAGGGCCAGTGCCAGGAGAGAGAGCACAGTTGAAGATGTGTGTTAAGGAAGGCACAAGACAAGGGGAGAGAGATCTGATAAGGTGAGATGGGACAGGATCAAGCAGGCAAGTGGTGGGGCTAGGGGAAATGAGGAGCATAGCCACCTCTTGTTCAGTAGCTGGGGAGAAAGTCTGAAGGGTAGGAAAGGCATGATCTAAGTGTGGTTGAGAAAGAGAAAGGCAGGGTGGGGACAATTCTTTCCTTAGCTGTTCAATCTTGTCGGTAAAGTAGCATGCAAAGCTATCGGCTGTAAGGTTAGTTTGAGGGGTGGCCACAGCAGGGCAAAGAAGAGAGTTAAAGGTGTCAAAGAGAAGTCTAGGATTGCAGGAGCATGAACTAATGAGAGAGGAAAAGTATGACTGTGATGAGGGCAAGGGCTGCACTGTATGAACACAATATGAATCTATAATGGAGAAAGTCTGCCTGGGTGTGAGACTTCCTCCAGGAGCATTCAGCACAATGGGAGCATCTTTGCAGGTAGTGTTATAAAACTAATACTACATCAATTGGATGACGATAATAGTTATCACTATATTTTAATGATCAAAAGCTTAACAGAGATATTTACCAAAGATTAGCACTTTGTTCAACTGGCTGACACACAATATTCAATTGCAGCAAAATTATAATACAAACAAACAAGATTAACCCAAATTTTTTTTTACCTAAACCCAACTACCTTTAAATTGGACCTTAATTAAATCCTGAAGAATTCTAAAACTAATAACAAGATTAACTGATTCAGTAGAATCATAGATGAATAAAGCAATTAATTAATTGGGAGATTCCCTAATAATCAGGAACACAGGATCACCTGCTTAACCTATAAATCCACATGTGGGGGGATAGGTTAAAGAGAGAAGAGGCGGCTGGGCTAGATACCTTCTACAATCTTGTCCTACCTTACACAATGTGCAGTGGGTATGGTAGAATGCTCTAACCAAATGCAGTGTAAGCACACAGTAAGCAGAAACCTCTGCACCTATTTACCACCCCTTATTTTTGGTCTGGATTTCTTATCAGACAATTAAATTGAAACTTCATATCTTCATTTTGTCTGCTGACAATTATTACACTAGTTGCTAATTACTTTTTTGTTCTATACATGTTTGGGGCCCTATACATTATTTTTGTATTAGATGTAGAAACATATGAAGCATAGCTGGGCTCCGAGAAATCATAAAGGAGGTGGATTGAAGGTGACACAACAGTGGTGAGTGTCCCAGCAGAATGACTTTCCTCCAGGCAGTCACAATGACTAGTGTCTCACTATGTAGCCTGCACTCCTACAGCTACACTGTAATCCTATAAATAAATCCAGCATTCTACCAATAGCACTGACATCACAATGATCACACACCTTGCATATGCCCCTCTTTACCCCCCTTACTGGCACCTTCCCAAATCCTGGACGCCTAAGCAATGATAACTTTCTCTCAATTGGCTATTACTAGATATTGCTCTGTTAGCTTATTAGCTTACTGTGTGCCTATTAGGAAGAGTAGGTGCCACCTCCCTTTCCATTTACCACCTTATTATTTCCATACCTGAAGTCCACATTTTTCTAATCCAGACTCACTCCCCTTTTGTCATATCTGGTATGTTTACCAAGGCTTGTAGAGACAACTGTATGTCTTTATATGACATTCACTATTTGGATAAGTTCAGAGAAGGCTTGTGATCACACAGGGATCTAGGTTACTGGTTTTGCCCCCTTCTTCACATAGGAATGCTAAATTGGTCCAAGCAATATGATTCTGAAGGGTACTTCACGTTTTATTCCTTCTTGTTCTGACACTAGTGACCATCCCCTTTACTCCCTATGTTCTCTATTCTTTGTCTAATGTACTGCTGGTTTCTATCATAACACCTGATACTGTAATAGTACATTATTTTAGTTTCGGTAACTATCAAAATGAATGACTCTGTGGAAATCGTAGAGCGAGCAGAAAGTTTCACGGTTGTTTTGTGTTTTGCTGGATGGCTCACTGATGACTAAAACATAACATGTTAAAGAATTTAAGCTGTTTGTTTTTCTTTCTAAATCTCTCCCTTTACTTCAGTAACACAATGACAAAGTCTAGGAGTAACCCATGTACAACCAATCTCTTCTGCCTTCATAACAGAGTAATACATCTACAAATGTATGTCACAAGAAAAAAACCTTTTGCAACATTGATCTTTTTTCTACTGGACTACTGCAGCTCTTTATTCATTAGTTTACCTAATTCCCTTTATCATGGTTATTTTTTTTTTTTTTTTTTTTAGCTTAACCCAAAGAATAAATTTTCTCTAATCTAAAACCACAATTGTCACATAAAATCAACATTATGGATTCCAGTTGTAAACCACTCTTCTTACCTTCAAAGCTCTCAATCCCACCTCCCCATCTCATATCTCGTCAATGAACATCCTTTTACTCCTGTATACCCACTATGAGTGTCTTGTTGATAATTTCCACTGCTATATATAGACTAAAACCTTTGTTTTAAATTTAAAGCCATATGTACACATTGTTATAAATGAGATTGAGATACACAACAATCCAGCCTTGCTGTTATTGGGAAATAAAACAATTATTATTATTTATATAGCGCCAGCAGATTCCATAGCGCGGTATCTGGTTTATTCACTAAAGTGAGAATTCAAAGTGAATTTAGAAAGTTATAGTCGAAAAATATCTATAATGGAAAAGTTCTACAAGTCAGCTAATATAGACTTAAATATGAAATTCACTTTGTAAACAATACTGTGGGTGTGTCAACTGGCTACTGAGTGTACATGGATATACTACAATCTGGATGCACTGAAGAATAGCCTTATTGAAATGTACCCACTCTGTAACACTGGACTCCCCACAGTGGAAGCTTACTTATTCCTATGCATCCTTCATCATTAATACATTAAATCGTAACTTCACTGATACCCTTATTTAGCCTTGCAACATAGCTTGAGTGATATCAAGGCAGAATATGCAATGATACACTTTGAAACTTGACCTTAGTGATACACGTCTGTAAACATGTTAATAAGTGTCCTCAGCTCAACTTAACTCAAAAACTACTAAAAAAAAAAAAAAAAATCTGCACACAATGAAAAGAAATGCTACTCATTTAATTGTAACCAATGTCTGTATGAATGTAATGTTTCCATTGGAGAGGCAAAAAAAATGCACTGAATTAAAAGAAAGCTGGAATAAAGTACAGAATATAATATATTTGAATACTATAACACTGTATACAGTTACACTTTCTTTTGAAGACTGCGGTAACATTGTCTATCAAGAACTTTTTAGAGCACGGTCTAGCCCTTTCAATGTGCCTACTAAGTTTCTAAGTATTAACTATGAATTATTATATGGACCCTTATTAAATAGTCACCAGAAAAGGGTGTAAGTGCGCATATATACGCTCTTCACTATACTTATTATCTGTCATCCCTTTGGTGAGCCAAATATTTTATGTGGAATTAAATTAGGGATTTCATTTCTTAGCCTGAAAGTAGTGCATAGATCATTCTACTGACAACTAATGACTTTTTACAGCATAGCATGTCACCTTAAGAATATTCCACAACAAAACATGTGTAAAGTAATGAGTTTTACTATAACAGCATATAAAGTAAACAGCTTGTTAAACAAATCTATACGCAAAGACTCACAACTGATTTGGAACCCTGTAATATTATAGCAAATCCCAGCAGGGTCAACTTCGCCCTTCATCCTTCTGAGGTTTATAAAATGAGTACCATCAATTGGGTAATCTATTATTCAGCTGCCAATTTGGTTAATTCCGAGAGCATGTGCTGAGTCCCACAAGGAGAAAGGAGCTATATAAATACCTGTTGTTGTTGTTGTTGTTGTTGTTGTTATTATTATTGTTATTATTATTATTATATGGAAATCTGTATTCTACCCAAACATAGAATTCCAGCGTACAACATATATTACTTTATTAGAGTATAGGTCATAGGATATATAATCTCACGGTTCTACAATTCTATAGAATGTATCATATCTTACACCAGGGTCTCCCGATTAGTACCCTGGGGTTCGCCACATCTAACATCCAAAATGGATGTTATGTCCCTGGAAGTGGACAGGAAAGATCGCGAGACTATGATCTTACTCACCTGCCTACAACCATTTCAGACTCACATGGTTGTGAACATTGAAATATCTCAGTTGCATGTAGGAAATCTCTGTCTTTTAGGCTCAGCTATTTTTCAATCAGTATTGTGCCCAATGTGGCTTCACGTAAAAATGATTTGTTTTATTGTGCTGCCCTTTATATAGGTGGCCAATGTGGCATCTGAGTACAGTTATTTGTTTTTCTAGAGTCAGACTGTGCTGGTTAAAAGTGTGCTGCTGAAAATATTTGTATATCAAACTTTTGCCCTTATTTACTTGGGATAAGGGTTTTTTTGCTTTTGTTAAATTTTATTAGAAATCATTTTATTTAAAAAAACAAAAAAAAATCATTAAAAGGTTTGTGCTTTGACGCTAATTTTATTTTTGAGGCGTTCCGTGATGTTGGCACACTATGCCAAAGGGTTCCATGGGAAAAAGTTTATTTGGAACCCCTGTCTACCATTATCTCAAAGGACTGTTATCTCTCAGTGTTGGTATTTGCAAAGGTGTTAGGTTCCAGTGTGTAGGCATTGCTATGTGTAGTTACATTGTACCATATAGGTGATGCTAAATGTACAGGTGTCATATTATATTGTTTAGATTTATGATACATGTACAGCTGTTATATAACAGTGTATAGGTTTATTCTATATTCAGTTGTTATATTACAGTGTATAGCTTTATGCTATGTGTACAGGTGTTTTACTAAAGTGAATAGGTTTAAGGTATATGTACAGGTATTATATTACACTGTATAGGTTTATGATATATGGTATTACATCCCAACGAATAGGTTTATGATCAATCAGGCTTTCATCCAAGTCACTCAACTTCGACTGCCCTCTTAAAAATTTGCAATGACATCCAAATTGGCATGGAACAAGGAGACTTAACTGGAACTATTTTCCTTGATTTTGCCAAGGCCTTTGACACAGTAGACCATGGCATTCTTTTTCAAAAACTCAAAAACTTAAAAACTCAGGCATTAATGATCGTCTGCTAACCTGGCTTCGATCTTATGTTTCAGACCGATTGCAATATGTGGCCATTTCTGAAAGCTTTTCCCTCCCTCTTCCAGTCATGTTTGGTGTTCCCCAAGGCTCCATTTTGGGCCACCTGCTATTCACATTATTTATAAAGGATCTGCAAATCCTCAACTGTACACATGTATGCAGACGGCACTGTAATCTACGCTAGTAAACCCAAGCTACAGTTTGAGGCTGTGCTCCAAAACCAATTGACCGAGGTAGAAAAGTGGATAGCGGATAACAAACTCTTCCTAAACACTGACAAAACTGTTACAATTATCTCTGGAACTGTACCTAAATTACGTAAACTACAAAATCAACAATTGTGTATCAGAACAAATTCAAATAGCACACTGACAGCAGTCTGCTCTTTTAAATATCTAGGTATGTTGCTAGACCCCAATCTATCCTTTGGCCTTCACATTGAAAAAATCTGTTCAAAACTTTACCCAAAACTAGGTGCCCTGTACACAAATCCTACCTAAGCCCTACAGTAAGGAAACAGTGCAACAAATGCTAATGCCGGTCATTGATTATGGGGTTGTAGTGTATACACCTGCACTGCAAACCCTCCTTAATAAACTTAATACGTTATATAATTTGTTCTGCCGCTTTGTACTAGAATGTAATTACTTTACCCACCACTATGACATGTTAAAAGAGCTATACGGGCGGTCGCTGGAATCCTGACGTACTCTTCATCTTTCCAGCCTTGTGCATAAGAGCATTTCTGGGAAGCTCCCATCCTACCTGAGTAGAATGCTCTCCCAGGGTGTTCCCACCTCCTATAACCTCTGACCCAGTACTAACGCGATATTTAGCATACCGCAATACAAAAATAAAGTGGCTCGATTCTCCTTTTCCTACAGGGCACTGCAATTATGGAATAACCTCAGGGACACAGTCAAATCTTCATTCAATCTAAAATCTTTTAAGAGATCTATGGCAATATACCTCAGCACAGAACGCACCTGTCATGGTTAAATATATTTATTACCTGTTATGTATTACATTTATATATGTGTGTATACATATAGTTTGTATATTGTATTTTTGTAATATTGTATCCTATTATTGTAACAATGCAATGTTTTGTGGACAAAGACCCAGGAAATACTTGAAAACAGGGGGAGAAATCTCAATGTATCCATCCTGGTAAAATATTTTATAAATAAATAAAATAAATATATCTACAAATGTTATATCCCAATGTATAGGTGTATGCTACATATACTATATTGCAGTGTATATGTTTATGATATACGTACAGGTATTATACCACAGTGTATATGTCTATGGTATATCCACAGCTGTTATATCACAGTGTATAGGTTTATGATATTATGTGCACATGCTATATTACAATGTATATGTTTACATTATATGTACAGGTATTATATTATAATGTATAGGTTTATTTATTTATTATTTATTATTGCCATTTATATAGCGCCAACAGATTCCGTAGCGCTTTACAATATTATGAGAGGGGATTTAACTATAAATAGGACAATTACAAATAAACTTACAGGAACAATAGGTTGAAGAGGACCCTGCTCAATCGAGCTTACATTCTATAGGATGACATATATTACAATGTATATGATTTATGTACAGTTGCTGTAATTAAATGTATATGTGTATGCTATATGTACAGTTGCTGTATTACAATGTATATGGATATGTTATATGTACAGGTATATTACAATGTATAGGTTTATGATATATTATATTACAATGTATATGATATATGTAAAGTTGCTATATTTACAATGTGTATGTTATAAGTACAGTTATTATAATAGTGTATAGGTCTCTGGTATAATATATTACAGTGTATATGATATATGTACAGTTGATATATTACAATGTATATATGTATAGTTGCTGTATTACAATGTATATGGATATGCTATATGTACAGTTCCTGTATTACAATGTATATGGTATATGTACAGTTGATATTACAATGTACATGGGTATGCTATATGTACGGGTATGCTATATGTACAGTTGCTGTATTACAATGTATATGGATATGCTATATGTACAATTGCTGTTTTACAATGTATATGGGTATGCTATATGTACAGTTGCTGTATTACAATGTATATGGATATGCTATATGTACAGTTGATATTACAATGCACATGGGTATGCTATATGTATGGGTATGCTATATGTACAGTTGCTGTATTACAATGTATATGGGTATGCTATGTGTACAGTTGATATATTACAATGTATATGGATATGCTATATGTACAATTGCTGTTACAATGTATATGGGTATGCTATATGTACAGTTGCTGTATTACAATGTATATGGGTATGCTGTATTACAATGTATATGGGTATGCTATATGTACAGTTGCTGTATTACAATGTATATGGGTATGCTATATGTACAGTTGCTGTATTACAATGTATATGGGTATGCTATATGTACAGTTGCTGTATTACAATGTATATGGGTATGCTGTATTACAATGTATATGGGTATGCTATGTGTACAGTTGATATATTACAATGTATATGGATATGCTATATGTACAATTGCTGTGTTACAATGTATATGGGTATGCTATATGTACAGTTGCTGTATTACAATGTATATGGGTATGCTATGTGTACAGTTGCTGTATTACAATGTATATGGGTATGCTATGTGTACAGTTGCTGTATTACAATGTATATGGGTATGGGTATGCTATATGTACAGTTGCTGTATTACAATGTATATGGGTATGCTATATGTACAGTTGATATATTACAATGTATATGGATATGCTATATGTACAGTTGCTGTGTTACAATGTATATGGGTATGCTATGTGTACAGTTGCTGTATTACAATGTATATGGGTATGCTATGTGTACAGTTGCTGTATTACAATGTATATGGGTATGCTATATGTACAGTTGCTGTGTTACAATGTATATGGATATGCTATGTGTACAGTTGCTGTGTTACAATGTATATGGGTATGCTATGTGTACAGTTGCTGTATTACAATGTATATGGGTATGCTATGTGTACAGTTGCTGTATTACAATGTATATGGGTATGCTATATGTACAGTTGCTGTGTTACAATGTATATGGGTATGCTATGTGTACAGTTGATATATTACAATGTACATGATATAAGTACAGGCGTTACCTTGCGATGCTGGATCTCCAGGTTACAGAGTGGTCTGGGCAGTATGGGATGCTTTTTGTCTGGCTGTCCGTTCTCAATGGTCCCATTAGTGGTTGTCATGTTTGTAGTCCCTGCTGTGACCGAGTCCCCGGTTCCTGAAATACAGAGTTTGTCTCCTCCACTAATGAGCGATGTCCAGCTCTGTATGAGCTGCTAGAGGAGCTCCTCTCCCTTTAATAGCTCAAGTCAGGAGCAGGGCTGCTATTGGCTCTGTGAGCTAGAGCTGATTGGTCGCTGGGAGCAGGCGTGCCAGTCCATACACCACCCAAACATCTTCCCCTGTATCCCAGCCCTGTGTGTATGGATTACATTAGCTGCATGGGATAAAGCTGCTGGGTGTGCTCTATACAGAGGGGCTGCTACAGATGCATGCTGTCAGAGAGGAGACATTGATTAGAATAACATTCTTTTTATTAATTCTGGTGCAGTGTGTATGTCATTCATTCCTATGGGAATGTTACATGTAGTCCAGGATTCTATTCTAGAATAGGAGCTGTGAAGGATAATGTGTGTTACATGTGTCAGGATAAGAAGGGGGGTGTGGTGTATACAAATAGCTGGATGACAGTGACCATTCATTAGACTGACTGAAGAATTGGAGTTGAGTGTCTTTCAGAGAAAATGTTGGTAATGATAATGTGTCCTGATGTCTGCACTAGGGAGAACTATAAAAAAAGTGAGTGTTCTGATGGCTGGATATTAGGAGTTGGGAGGTTTTGTGCCTGAATGTTTCCTGGTGTATCTGAAGGTAGATTCTCTCTCTCTCTCTCTCTCTCTCTCTCTCTCTCTCTCTCTCTCTCTCTCTCTCTCTCTCTCTCTCTCTCTCTCTCTCTCTCTCTCTCTCTCTCTCTCTCTCTCTCTCTCTCTCTCTCTCTCTCTCTCTCTCTCTCTCTCTCTCTCTCTCTCTCTCTCTCTCTCTCTCTCTCTCTCTCTCTCTCTCTCTCTCTCTCTCTCTCTCTCTCTCTCTCTCTCTCTCTCTCTCATTTCTTATAAGTAGACATGCATACTGTGCGCCAGTAACCTTGTGTGTGTCATTGTCTGTCAATGAGCCTATTTGTGTGCATCAGTAAGATTGTCTGTCTGTGTGTGAGTATGCTTTACTGTATAATTGAATTACCCTAAAAGAACTAATATTTTGAATTAGAAGAAGAAATGTATCAATAAATATATATATCTATATATCTATCTCCTACATAGCACAATGACTTATGGGGCTGGCATAGATTTTTTTTTCCAGGGCTGCTTCGTATCCCCAGTCCGGCCCTGCATGCATGTGTCCTGGTATAATATCTGTGTGTTAGGATTGAAATGTACGTTACCTGAATTTTTGTATGAGATTGGACATGTGTCACAATTTCTTTGTGCCGATGTCTGAGTACGTTCGTGGAATGGATAATGACTAAAGTGTCAAGAATTCAAAGGGAAGTTCATATTTTGAACGAGAGAGCTGAATTGGAAAAATACACTAGCTCTCTGTGTTTTAAAGAGACACCCCACTGCCCAAATACAAAATAAATAATAAAACCAGCATTTTGTAGATATATCCCAGTGAAAACATACATACATTTAGTTACACATATTGTTCATTTTGGGTATATCTAAAAACACCCTGCAAAAGCTGCAGATCTCTTGTCTGCTGCATTTGCAAACCCTCCCTTTCTAACCTCGCCCAGACTTCCTGTGGCTGTCCAATCAGATTTCCCAAAGCAGCTCAATGAGAGGCAGGTGCTCTGGGCAACTTGCAACTTGAGTTTAGCTCCACTGAACTAACCAAACCAGGCAGTATCAGGACCTGCTGTCTGATTGAAAACCATTACTTTAGGGTTTATTAACTAAACTATCAATTGTAGTAAATTAGACATAGTACCACCTGTTAATTAGTTTATAAAATGTTTCTACGTAATTTAAACAATGTATAATTTTTTTGTAACATAGTGGAGAGTACCTTGTACCAACAATTTTTGTCAATATTACAGCCAAGTTATTTTCCCACTTACGTATTGCTGGGGGTTGGAGAAATTAATCATATCAAGTCTATGGCTTTAGAGAAGGGCCTTTCGACACCCTTGTAGTTAAACAATCCAAATAGAGGGAAACCATAAACCGGATAGGATCTCAAAACATTGATATTTACAAAATGTTTGCGTCTTAAACAGGTAAATAATTAGCTTGGTAGGGAGAATTCCACTTGTAGTTAGGGAAAGGTTTTGATATTATTTCCTTGTATCAGTTGTTTGATATAACCTATCCCAGCCGTTATCCAAGTTTTAATGTTACGATCCTCTATAAATTGTTCTAATGTATCTATTTGGAGATACAGCAGGATTGTTTTGTCAATTTTCATTGTTCTTTTAAGACTTTCCCACTCATATATTAGATTGTTAACTACTAGGCTATTGTTACATCCCATCTCGTTCTTATCTTTTTTCCCTTTGAGATTCCATATCAGAATATCCCAATGTTTTACCCTGCAAAGTTACTCAATTTCTCACCAAGGTTCCTCTCTGGAGGACAGCAGTTGAGTTCTATAGATATGAGTTATCATGGTGGCTCTGTAAATGTCCAATCAGGGGCATATTGACTCCGCAATTTTTGTTTTGTTTAGTAGGACCATTCTATTGATTCTTGGTCTCTTGCCCTTTCATATGAATGTGTCAAAACTATTTTTAATCATCAAAGGCCCACTGTTTTGGATTTTTAGGGGATCATCTGGAACAAGTATTGCCATTTAGGTAAGATGTATGCACGTATGGTGTTCATTCTACCCAACCACGAGTTACAATCTTGTCTCCACTCCCTCAATTTTGCATTTGTTTGTTTAAATACATGGAGGAAATTTATCTCCATTGTCCTATCCTATCTTTAGGATATCTCCATTGTTCTATCCTATCCTATCTTTAGGATATCTCCATTGTCCTATTCTATCTTTAGGATATCGCCATTGTCCTATCCTATCTTTGAGATATCTCCATTGTCCTATCCTATCTTTAGGATATCTCCATTGTCCTATTCTATCTTTAGGATATTGCCATTGTCCTGTCCTATCCTATCTTTAGGATATCGCCATTGTCCTATCCTATCCTATCTTTAGGATATCGCCATTGTCCTATCCTATCCTATCTTTAGGATATCTCCATTGTCCTATCCTATCTTTAGGATATCGCCATTGTCCTATCCTATCCTATCTTTAGGATATCGCCATTGTCCTATCCTATCCTATCTTTAGGATATCGCCATTGTCCTATCCTATCCTATCTTTAGGATATCTCCATTGTCCTATCCTATCTTTAGGATATCGCCATTGTCCTATCCTATCCTATCTTTAGGATATCGCCATTGTCCTGTCCTATCCTATCTTTAGGATATAATCCATTGTCCTATCCTATCTTTAGGATATCGCCATTGTCCTATCCTTTTGGGATCCATTATCTACTTATCTTTGGGGTCTATCATCCTATCTATCTTTGGGATATATGCATTTGTCTATCTATCCTATCCTATCTTTTGGGATGCCATTGTCTATCCTATCCTATCCTATCTTTAGGATATCGCCATTGTCCTATCCTATCCTATCCTATCTTTAGGATATCGCCATTGTCCTATCCTATCCTATCCTATCTTTAGGATATCTCCATTGTCCTATCCTATCCTATCCTATCCTATCTTTAGGATATCGCCATTGTCCTATCCTATCTTTAGGATATCGCCATTGTCCTATCCTATCTTTAGGATATCGCCATTGTCCTATCCTATCCTATCCTATCTTTAGGATATCGCCATTGTCCTATCCTATCCTATCCTATCTTTAGGATATCTCCATTGTCCTATCCTATCCTATCTTTAGGATATCGCCATTGTCCTATCCTATCCTATCTTTAGGATATCGCCATTGTCCTATCCTATCCTATCCTATCTTTAGGATATCGCCATTGTCCTATCCTGTCTTTAACAACTTTAACTCCCAGATAGTCAAAGCACCTTTTTTCTCAGGAGAAATTATATTGAGAGTGAAATTCCTCAATGTGGGGTTTATCCTCATTTACTAGCATCATGATAGATTTAGACATATTTAATGTAAAGTTTATTGAAAACATTGAAAGCTAGGACTTCTGAGTTGATGGAGGCATAAAACGCCTCCATCCACTCAGATCTGCTGTCAGCAGAGCACAGGGCAGCACTGTGCAACACTGTGCACAATCATCCTGTCTGCAGGCTGTCAGCAGAAGCAGTAGCGCGGGGAGTCGGCTTGAGCTGACAAGCTGAAGACCGGAGACCGAGCAGGAGGGGAGGATTCAAACTGTAAGTAAACTTATTTAGTGAGTGTGGGTGAGTGACTGAGGGAGGGTGAGTGACTGAGGGTGAGTGGGGGACTGGATATATGGATATGGATGATGGTGATGGATGATCTGGATGATGGGGATGGATGATCTGGGGGATGGATGGTATGGGGGATGGATGGATATGGATGGTATGGGGGATGGATGTGGATGGATGGTATGGGGGATGGATGGAGAGAGTGTGTGTATGTCTTTAACTTTTTACTACTTGTGTGTTTGCATAGAAACACTATATATAGATATATATATATATATATATATATATATATCTATATATAGTGTTTCTATGCAAACACACAGTTTGGCTGAGGAGGGGGGCGGGTATAGAAAGCGAGCTGAGCTGTCCGTCAGACAGCTCAGCTCAAACGCGCATTCCGCGCACATGCGCGGTTGAGTGCTGAGTTTCTTCATAGGGTGGCATTCAACGCATGCGCACCACATCGTGATGACGCTTCTCAAAGAGAAGCGTCCTATTGGGCCCTGCGATTTTGGCATTTTGACGAAAAAGGGGTCGTGGCCTAGCGGGGAGCTCGGCGCTGGAACGGAGGTAAGCTTTATTATTAAAAAGTGCTCTAATTTTTTTATTTTATTTTTTATGGCAAGTTCATATAAAAACAAAAAGTGCATATAAAAAACTGTGTACATAATTTCTCACATGAAGTGAGACAAATTAATACACAGCGGTCAGACGTGGTGGTACCAGCTCCACCCCAGGGCTTTAAACCCAGTATATAATTAACAAAACGAATGTGTGATGTCTCAAAGACTACAGAGACTCCAAATCTGGTTTTATACAAGGTCCATAACAGACGTTTATAAAAGTATATAGG